CAGCATTTAGCAGGAAGGTTAAATCAGCTTTTGTTTCAGTGACAAGGTGTCATTTGACACCTAATCCAACACCTGTTGTGATTTTTGGCTGTGAGCTCAGTCTGAATCACCTCAGTCTCTGTGTGTTGACTGTTGCTCTTCTGACGTTTGTGTCAGCTCTTCTGAGACAAAACCCTCATTATCCCCGCTACTCTCCTCCTGGGTTATCATTGGCCTCCAGAGCACACGTCTATTGACGCCACTGAGCGGCAATCTTACTGTTCACAAACAGATATTTGTTGCCGCGGAGACGTCTGCCTGCAAAGCCGCCAGCTGTAGTGGTGTGTGGAAGTTTTATCAGATGTGCAGAGAACATCTGAACTGTAGGCTGGTGCCAAATGTAAATCACACTCAGCTCTGTTTCTGTCTGCTTTTTGGTCCATACACTGTAAAAACTGGAACGATCGTTACTGCTGAAGTTGTCAGTGTCGGTGTGTTTGCTGCCCATGGTTGTCATGGAAGAGACTCAGAAATGTTTGGCTCTGGAGGATGTTTCTGTGGCCTGAGACTGAAATGAGAGTAGGTGTTTCCTTTTATGTGATGGGGTCAGGGGTCCTCTGGGTGCGACCTCACTGGAATTGTTGAAATCATTCATCCTTAGACCACGGGCCCCACCGTGGGGGGTACTTGTGTAATCTAAACTCACCCACATTATCAACATTTGGTGTCAGGACAGGATGTAAATCACAAAGGATTTATGTTATTAACTGAGCCGTGTGTTACTGTGTTTGGTTCTGTCAGGTGGGGAAACTGATTGAACTGCTGGCTGGGAAGGCGGGAGTCCTGGATGGACGGTTTCACTACGGTACAGCCTTTGGAGGCAGCAAAGTGAAGGATGTGTGTGAGGATCTCATCCGTTACGGATACAACTACCAGGGCAAAGACTACGTCACCTCAGGAATCACAGGGTAACGGCAAGATCATGGTTTATTCCATTTACCACAACATTACTGCTCATCATTTTTCAAAGCATGCCTTGGTTTTCTGGAGCCATTGTAAATTAGTATCTTTTTCACTACATTATGAAAGCCATCTTGCATAGGCAGTCGATTGTCATTATAAACCACGACTTTGTTTGATCAGTGTTCTTTATTGGTGTCTTCAATGATATCTGAATAGTAAAGAGCTCACTGCAGTAGTGCAACCTTTTTATAGCCATGTTTTATGTTAAAAGTGCTGTTTTTCCCCAATGTCCATGTTTGCTTAAAGCTACAGTAAGGAAACTCTGAATCAACTCACACTCTCTGCTCCACCCAGCACTCCCTCTCCCTGCTCCACTGTGCTCTACTACAATCTGCTTCGCTCCACCATGTTCTGCCCATTTAAGAGTCAAATGTAGGTTGTCTGAGCTTCCCAGAGACACCCAAATGCACCATTGCCATCAGGATGTTTTCAGCGTCAGGTGTTGTTAGAGTAGCCCCCTGCTCTCAGCTGCATTGCCACAAGACTCAAGTTTGATTAGTAGATGAACGCTTCAGACTGTGAAAAATTAAAAGTCATGACAAATGGCAATCACAATGTACTAGAGCACAAGTTATTCATGATGTTGGACAAATGCCACAAGCACACACTCGCACAAATGTTCCATTCAGAGTGTAATCGGAGCTTTACCTTCAGGTCAACAAATAGAAAAGCAGCCACCCCTCATATTTCAGGAGATGTAACCATCAACTGTTCAATATTTTTAATTTGATAAAGTGTATCCTAATTCACATGTTCTGTGTTTTTCTGTATTTTCTTCAGGGAACCACTGGAGGCTTACATCTACTTTGGACCAGTGTATTATCAGAAGCTGAAACATATGGTCCTCGACAAAATGCATGCCAGAGCCCGAGGCCCCAGAGCTGTTCTCACAAGGTAGAATCAAGGACTAACATTTAAAAAATATGTAATTGCAACAACATTTAACTAATAGAAATAAACCTATGTACAGTTCAGACACAAAACAAACGTCTTGCGTGTGTGTTTGTTCCCTGAATGCATCTCACCCGCCAACAGGCAGCCTACAGAGGGTCGCTCCAGAGACGGAGGTCTGCGTCTGGGCGAGATGGAGCGCGACTGTCTGATCGGCTATGGAGCAAGCATGTTACTGCTGGAGCGCCTCATGATCTCCAGTGACGCTTTTGAGGTGGACGTGTGCGGACAGTGCGGCCTGCTGGGATACTCTGGGTGGTAAGTTAAACACGCTGGCTGACAGCTACAGATGTGAAGTGCATCATCTTCTAGTGCACGGAAACTGGTGGAGCCTGGATGACAGAACCACCTGTTGAGTGGATTCTCCTGGAAATCAGTGTACCGGTTAACTTTTTAAATAACTTTCTGTAGATGTTCATGAAGTCGTAAGTGTTGAAGAGCAACTGTATGGCACAGCTGAAACAATGAATCAGTGCTTTTCTCATTAATCACATTACCCCAGTGTGCATTAACCTGTGCTGTTAGCAAGATTGGTAATTCACATTTGTTGTAGGACAGGTGTATTCTGGGAAGTCCACAAATACAGTTTGCTGGAAGTCCAGTCAGTAACCTTTGTTCGTCTGCAGTCTGATTCTCAGTTTCTTTCGTCCAGGTGTCACTACTGTAAGTCGTCCTGCCACGTCTCCTCCCTGCGGATCCCGTACGCTTGCAAGCTGCTGTTCCAGGAGCTGCAGTCTATGAACATCATCCCCCGACTCAAACTGTCACGTTACAATGAGTGACCAGGACGTGGACAGAAATACAGCATGTGTGAGTGACAGGATTAGATTCAGAGATTGAATTTAGTCTGAAACAGGTTGATTTGTGAAAGATTTTGAATGAGCAGAAAGAAACAGACTGAAGATTTTTGTTGTTACCCAAACCATTGTCTGCCCTGTTTCTCATTTATGTTGATACACTCACAGTTATGCTCTTTGTATGTGTACATAATAAACACAAAGATTATTTTGCAGGCAGCTGCTGTGTCCTGTACAGTTTGATTACTTTTAACTCGGCGCTTCCTTTTGTGAACAAATACTGAAGTACATGTACTCTCAAATCAAAATACATTTGATTAAGCATGAATAATAACCTGAGGAAAAAACAGCAGCAGTCTGTGAACAGTGAGCACCTTTTCTCTTTTGCTTCATAAAAAGCCAAGGCCACTGCTTTTTCTTGTTTTTGTGGACTGTATTCTTTATGTTTGCTAAAAGTGTTAAAATAAAGTGTTAAAATCATTTTATAAAGGGTCTTTTTTGATAATATCCTTCAAGATAGAGCAAATATGTCAAAATGATGACACTGTGCTCTACTTTTAACACATTACACAAAAACAAGCTCTTCATATATGTGCAACAGTAACCTAATGTTTATTTTTTAGGGCTGTAAGCAACAGTTTTTATCAAATGTCTTGTTTTTCTGACCAGCGGGCCACAGACATTCAGTTTACAGACTAAGGTTACCAACAAATTCACATTTCAGAAGCTCAAACTAGAGAATTTTAGCATGTTTTAAGTTTTTATCAGAACTGTTTCAGATTAATTGGTTAAACCTACAGTATGTAACTTTTTCCAAATGTTTTTGTTGTAAAAATCAGCTCCAAAACTCGTCTTAATGTGTAGAGGTGCTGTCGAAGCCTCCTGTGACCCAGACTCATTGAACAGCACTGGCAGCAGTGCAGAGATGTTAGCTTCTGAAATGTTTTGAGTGAGACTGACCTCTCTAACCACTCAGAGATTTTCAGTTACTTCTGTTTGATCAGTAAGTTTTGTTGCAATCTCATTTATTTAACTTCATAGTGACAAATATCTGAGGAGCTGGGCAGAGTGTGGTGGAGCGAAGCACACTGTAGTAGAGCATAGAGTCGCTGGGTGGAGCAGGGTGGGTTGATTTGGAGTTTCATGCTAGAGCTACTTTCACTCACATACTGTAGCTTTAATTAACATCATTTCTGAAAATCACTAAGCAGTAATATATGTAGTTGCTTCCCAGTCTATGTCAAACTGATACTCAGGTAAAATGTTTCTACATATTTACTGCTTTATGTGATAATATCCATACGATACTAACTGGCCCATCGTTAAACCATCAAAAGGGGTGTTTTTTGATTTCATTACAACCTGAGGTGTTTGATTTAGGTTCCTCAGTAGAGTGTTTAAATTTCACGTGATAAGCAGTCAGCTGGATGACTGAACAGTGTTCAGTGACGACATCTAGAAATACAGAGAGGAACATTTTCATTCATATCAACAGGAGGAGCAAGTTTCCTCTTTTAAACTGAAGCCTTAATACCACCACCATGTCGTATGTATCGTAAACATACCCCCCACTCACACATATACACACAACTCACTTGGGGCCTTTTCAGAGAACAAAAGCAATACACACGCGTTTGTGCAGGCAGAGTGTGTGAGAATAGGAAGGGTGGAAGAGGCTCTTTTGGTGGCTGCACCTGTCCTATTTTATGAGGCTCTAATAAGCAGATAACAGGGTGGGGGGAAAGGACATCCACTGAGGGAGATACCAGACTCCACCTTCTTCTTGTTTGATAGAAATTAATTAGATCCTCTTTTGAGGTCACACCTTTACACTGGTCACCATTTAGACCTTTGAATACTGAGTCAGTATGTTATTGTAATGTTGGTCTTGTGAAAATTAGTGTCTAGCTCTAAGAGTCTAAAGATGCATCAAACATTTTTTTTTTGTTTCAGAAACTTCAAGTGTAGTCATCTTGACCTTAGACTCATCCCAGTAGCTTTCTTCTTCTTATATGAATCTGAACGCCCTGTGCACGGTGTCCCTGGGCATGTTCTTGTCATGGGACACCCGTGCGTCCAGGTGGCTGCACGGTGTGTGCTGGTGAACAGCAACAGTGGTGCCCACGCCTGCGCACTGGAAGAGAAAGTCCTCCTTTGCTATCCATGGTGTGGTGAGTAATTCAGCCATAATCCGCCTTTCTCCTCTCCCCTCTTCTTTCCCTTCTCTCCCCCTCTCCTGTGGTTCCATTCATATTCTAATCACAGCTTTCCCTTCTCCAGCTCTCAGGCACTCCATCAGAGCCCTCCCAGCCTCAGGCTTTGCACTTTTACTTCCCCCCCTTTGTGACCGTTCCCTCTTCTCAGAGGCACACCAAAAATAAGGTTGCCACAGCAAAAGCATGAGCAAAAAGAGGTGAGAACTCCACCACAAAATTTGCAGTAGTGCTGTTTTAGCATGTTTGGATGAGTGTCTGAACACGCGATATGTCAACTCTGAAAAATTATCACCAAGATGCTTCAGCTGTAGCGTGAGCAGAGAAATAGACCAAATGTGGCAACAAGTATCTGTTGGATGTGAAGTGGGAGTTGAAATGAGAAGGAAAGACAGGAGTTGTGGTTGTGTTAGGGATGTATGTTTATGTGCAGCTCAGGGGTGTATAAAAACGTATTAAATGCCATAATGGAAGCCGGGGAGGCCACAGTGTTAGACTGCGTAGATCTAAGCCTCTTTTTTTTTTTCATTGGGAGGGAGCTTTTCTTATTCAAAACAGCCCCACAAAAGACTTCCAGTGAGCCTTGCCACATCCCCATCTGACTTGGGGCCATTCATCAGCCTTCCAAGCCTATCAATGACATGTCCCCATCAGGGCTCCTATAAAATCAGCCCCTTTCCCATGAAACATCAGCAAACATTTTGACGGGTCTGGCTTTCCCCCCGCTGGATTTCTGGACTCTCTGCTCCCCCCCACCCCGTTCTCCCTTATTCCCACCTCCCCCCTTTGCTCTGCCATCACCACCCCTCTCTGGGCGAACCTCAGATCCTCAACATCTCCTGTGACGGGCAGTGGTCACGGAAACACTGAGCGAGTCAAGGGGAGAGCCGCCGAGGAGGGTGAAACGTGCACTAAGCCATTTTCTTGGAGGAGCCAGTGTCGTTGATGGGAAGAGGATGCATTGCGGGCTGCTGGAGGAGCCTGATATGGATTCCACAGGTCAGTCCTGTTAAACTCCGCTTGTCTGGATGAATTGAGGAAACCAGCTTGTGTTCAGAAACGTTGTGTTAGTTTCCTCTGCTCAAACTTTCTCTGCACTCATTCAGAGGAACTGTCTGGATGTTTGGCTTTTTTCTGCTCATCTAATTTTCACATTTCTGAAGTTTATTATGAAGTGTGTTTTTGGTCACAGGACACTTACAGGAATTGCTGTTATATCACAGAACACGCTACTACTGTTTAAAGAACAGTTACAGAAAGCAGGGAAACGGGCCTTAAATCGCTGACACTGGATCGACCAAATGGCTTTTTGCTGTTTTTTTAAGTGAATTTAAAAATTGCACTCATCATTAGACGTGGAGGCATAAAAACAGCATGTGCACATCATGGTGCCCTTCAAAGTATTATGCACCTGCTCTTTTCAGTTTCTTTTTCAGTTTTGTTTTTGTTTTCTCAAGTACAGAACTGCAAAGCTGAAGCATGTATTGAACAACAAACTGAATTCCACTGGGAATTTATCTTTAAAAATATTTAGCACCTTATGTAGTAAAAATGAGTGCTTTATTTAAACTTTATTTAACTTTTGGGAATATAAATCAACATCTAATCTAATTAAAAGGTTGTATAAAAAGAACAAACTCCCTAGTAGCTTTCCTTATCTGCTGAGAAATAGCATTGTTAAAGTTTTTCAAATGTTTGCTTACTTATTGTTTAGTCTCAGACACAAAAAAAGTGAATTATGGATGCTGTATATGCTGGTGCAGTGTGGAGTAGTTAAGTCCTGAATGTGTGTTAATGAATGAGTGAACATCCATTTTACTTGTTGATCAAATTTAATCCAATTATTTAGATCCCCAACTTATCTGTCCCTGTGACAAATGAAGCTTGAGACCTGAGCCTCTGTGGAGAATTAGCTTCACTTCAGTGGTTTCCCTTTTTTTATTGTCAGGGTTGCTGTTCCTGTCTTTTTGTCTTTAGGTAGACAGAAGCAAATACTGCTGATAAATGATGAGAGACATCGAAGACACTGGTGGCGTTTTATGCAAAGTTAATATGCAAATGCTCAGGCTGTTTGTTTTGTTTGTTTGTTTTTTTTAATGTTATGCAGGATGCTGAGAATCAGTTCACAATATAAAAATGGGACAATCACGGCCACTGGCATTGATTCAGTTAAAGTTTCTGCCAACTGTAATAATAATAACTTGTTTAGCATTACATAAAGAAAAACCTCCTGCTTCTGAGGGACGTGAGCTTTCAGCTGCTGATGGGTGATGGGACTGCAGTCCGACCTTTTCCATCAGCACGTGGTGAACTTCTATGTGTCGAGCCTCGATGAGTGTAAACTTCTTAAACTTTTCAATATCTGTGACCTCCTCCGAATCCCCCTGTGGGCTGCACCAACAGGTCGTCCTGCCAGCAGTCTGTCCTGGCAACAGCAGCTATGGCGACTGTTGTCAGTTCACGAGCGTAAAGATTTAGGCAATTTCAAGAAATATGTGTAGAGTTTTTATGTTGTTGAACGTCTTAAAGGTGGAGTACTTTTACTTTATATGAAATGCAAACATCTGACACGTTTTAGTTGCTCATTTCAATGTTAAGTTACATAATAGTTTTAATTTACCATATGAATGGAAAATATTCAAATTTTTATTCCATTTCTTTCTGCAGTCCTTCAGTGTAGTTGTATCTTATTGTATTATCATAGAAAAATAATAAGCACAAAATGCTTTGTTGCACTCAAATAAGAATATTAACCTAACAGAATGTGTTTCTTAATTACATTTATCAAATACTGAAGACCTTCTTTGAAGCTAATAAAAGAATTTAAAGGGACTTCCACTATGTCAGGCTGTTTCAGCATGAAAGCTTTGGTGTTTTGCTGCTGCTCGGTCACAGAAAGCACACCAGTCGAGCTATTTCTTAGTAGAAATTAAAACAGGACAATGGCCTCTATTCCACCAGACTGCTTAATGTGCACAGGCTCTTTTAAACAAGCGCATATGCTTGTAGTCTCCTGGGAACAATGCTGGATTCCTGCCGTCTTGGTGAAAACATCTCAAATAGAGCCATGGCCGCACCGCTGCCCATACAATCAGTTGTTGCCAGCTCGCCCTGCCACGTTAGTGACATTTAAAGCCTCCTGTACAGGCAGTGATTTCCACGGTTTACGTAAATACACGTTTGAATCTCCTCTACTGCACGATAAAATGAGTTCACTTCAGAAAGTCAGTTTAAACTGACATCAAATTTTAACCAGATTCTTAATTTCGTAGTTGCTTCTGTCTACGTAACATTTTTTTCTGAGTTGTACTAAGATGACCTGTGGTGCTTCATGTCATTGTTTTTAGAGAGTTGGATTGAAAGATGCCTCAACGAGAGCGAGAGTAAGCGATACTCCAGCCACACGTCTCTGGGGAACATGTCCAACGATGAACGTAAGCAGGACAAACACTGTTTTACACTAAAACTACTGACTTCACTGAGGAATCTTGTTCCTGTGTGTTTCGTACCCATCAGTTATTTATCTTAGCGTTTTGTATGCTAAATGTCATTTAATCGTGCTTGCTCAGCAAAAATAAGACGGCCTTTAAAAAGTTTTGCACATTATTGTGCCAGTTATTTGCCCTAAAGTCCAGAATGTGTTGTATATTACAGATGAAGAAAAAGAAAATAACAGAGCCTCTAAACCACATTCAACACCAGCGACTCTGGAATGGTAAGTTTTTAAGAACAAATTTCAATCTTTTTCTTTTCTTATTTATTTATTTTGCCTTAGTAAAAATGAATGAGACAAAAGTGGGAAACTGTAAAAATAAATAACATTTTTTTTATGTCAAACCACAGTAAAGTGTAGCAAATGTAGTGGATTAATGTAAAAATGATGTAGCCAGTCTTCCAGAAAAGCCAGAGTTATTAATAAGTCATTATTTTAACTGATGCTTTTCACCCCTGTGAGGAAAACAACAGACAAAACACTAAAATATTATGAGTCTGTTTAAATTTGCTGTGTTTAAAATGATGTTTTTCACTGCACTAACCTGGTGGTAAAACCTGAATTTTCAGTCGTGTTAGATGCATTTAAAAATGCACAGCTTCACATGACACACAAATGAAACAGTGAGCACCAGTTATTCTTCACATTGTTTTCTCTTCTGGCCTTAATATGTTGGTAAAGGTAAGATGTACATTATGTGTCACTGAACCACAAATACAGATGAAAATTACATCCTGTAGTTTAATATTTTTGTTTGATTTGTGTGACATACATTATTTTTTGTTTTACATTATAACAGAAAAGAGAATTTAGAAAGTGTCTCTTTTTTCAGATCTTAATTTTGAATCTGATCATAATAATCACATCATCTAACATTTTATCTTGTATTTGCCTTTACGTGGAAATGTCTCGTGGACTCAACAATAGAGACTATTAACAAATACAGACTTAAAAAGTAGCATCAACATGTAGCATATCTGCTTCTCCGCATGTATGACATACAAACCCCACACATTCTGCTAGCTTATACGTGCCTGCCTGCTGCACAGGCCCATGGCCCATGGCCCATGACGTCATTTACTTAATAACATTCAAAATACCTATGAGCTTAAATATTTGTACTGCACAGTATAAATATCTGCACTGTGGGCAGCTGAGTCAATGTATCTGTTATTATATGCCCTTTTTAATAGAAGCACTATTGACATAAATGCTACTGTAATTGACCTCTGAAATAATTGCAGTCATTTTCTTTAGTGCACATACAGTATTGAAATTTTTCTTTTGATGCTATAGTGACTGCTCAAGTGATAACTTGATCAAATATTGAGAATGT